CCAACTAACCTTATCCTCCTTTGTCCATAACCAGTCAATGTATAGTGACAGTTGACCTAAAAAATGATCTACTTAGAAAGTGTGACAGTTTCCAAAATTCTGGCTATTTCTAACAGAAACTAGCTAATCATTACTTAGTGGGTAACAGACATCCCTAAGGTAAGTAGTTCTTTATAACTTAAAAGTTGTAAAGTGATTTGGGGGGGAAAAAGAGTCTAGTACCCAGATACACTGTTCTATTCACTTAACTATAAGACACTTCAGATTTTATTGAGGAAAGATTACTATCAGTTCGTTTTAAAAAAACATACACACAGAAGAAATTGGTTTTAGTTTCATTTATTAAGATAATACTTTCAATTTTTTATAGACTTATAATTTCTTAGAATGAAAATTTTTCAATCATGGCCATTATTAAAGCCTTGATTTTCATAAAACCTATCCCCCAAAACCACATAATTAAAGCTTATAATCATTTTTCCACTTGACATTTGGCTTTTATTAATCCAACAGAGACATCTGACATTTTCATGTGCTAGAATTTAAGATGAAGGTCAAGTGTCAGAACTTTTCAGTTCAAAATAATTTTCTTTGTATAAAACAATCATGCTTCCTCAGTATTTAACTTTACATTTTCTTTAATTGGCCAAATGAAATAAAATAGAAAATTCAATAAGCACTTGTTGCAGGACACTTCTCCCAAATAATGACAAATTGATACACTCAAAGACCAATAGCCTTTTTGCATGAAATAATACTTGAGGAACTAAGCAGAAATGAGTCTACACTGTTTTGTGTAGATAAATTTAAATACACCAGAGGCTTTTCATCATCCAATTTATTTACACTGAGTTGGAATTCACCCACATAATCTGGATAGTCCTAATTGAAAGAACTGTGGAAGTTCAGGCAAAGGAAAGAAGGGAAATCACTGTGATAATAAATCTCAAATTTCTGCAGCATAGCTCTACCATTTTGCTTTGTAGATTTTGTTATTGTGTTTGTTTGTTGTTACTGGGTTTTTTCTTTTTTGATAAATGGCTATGATTGGATGGATTGATTTGAGACCAGAAGTCATTCTTATCTTTATAAGGATTTAAAGAAAAAGAAGTCATACAAATAATACTTCGAATGTCACAGTTGTTTTATCAACTTGGATTTAACGCTATCCCATAGATATATTTTTCTCAGTGAATTTTAGTGAAAATAACACTTGAGAAAGTAGTTGTATCTGGCTCTCAAAAGTCCTGTGTAAAACCTGCAGTCTTCAAGAATGTACCCCAAAGTTGTAGCATTAGGGTGAGGGTCAGGTCAGTGAGTCCTTGTCCTCTGATTCCACATGCATTTAAACAGTACCTGCTGCTTATCCATAAAATGGTAATTTTATAAGCAAATAGCCACTTGAGTCAGCCTGAACACCTTTAGGAAGAATATGCTTTGCTAAAGATCAGCCATTCCTGTGTTTGAGAGTTAATTACTCATGAGGGTCTAATTTTACCAAGAGAACTGTATAAGTTCTTTCTTTTTCTCTAGATGAGTTAACAGTAAAGTAAATGCAGCCCATGAATTTCAGACAATCTGGAAAGATAATTAATTGCTGCTTAACAAAAGACCATGAGCCAATTCTGAAAAATCTTCTAGAAGTCCAGAACTTATAGCCATACAGGCATCCTAATGTATATTAATTTAACTTCATGCTTAACGAATCCAAACATTAAATAGAAAATCTATCTGCCCTTTTGATAAATACTTCTAAATATAAGTGTATTAGGAATGTACACATATTAAGGAAATGTTAGGAAAGATTTTATTTGCTTATCTATATTACCTAATGTTTAACTATGAGGACGTATAACTTTGGAAATAAGGAGGAAGTTGTTTTTAATTAAAGAAGGTACATAGAGTTATAATCCATTACTTGTTATGGCTATCTAACATAAACTTTCTAGTCAAATGTGTTCTAACGCATAATTCTCACACAATGCTATTATTAATTTTCCATAAAATTACTTTTTTCCCCTGATATGGTTGTCTGACATACTACTTCATCATGAAGACTACAAAACTCCAGTCACCTGATTCCTATTGCAAATCTGTTACTGAAAAAACTGAATTAGTGATTGCAAGAAGAAAAAAACAACTCTAGACTCTAACTCTGTCTCTAGTATTTCCCAGTCATGTGACCTTGGAAGAGGCTCTAGATGTCTTAGCTGCTGCTGTTGCTGGAAATAACAACTACCATGACTACTTTACCTGGTTTTCATGGGGGCCAAATTCAATGTGGTCTATACTAATTACAAATACACCTTATTACATTTTTTATGTAAATTACTTGGCTTCAGTTTAAATTTCAGAGCACTAGAGTTTATTATTATTGGGATTATAACAATCATAATAGCTAACATTACTAGTTTTACCAGAGCCCTGCAAAATGCTAGATTTTTCACATACATTATTTCATCTGATCCCTGCAACAGTGCAACAGAACCCCTAGTATTATCTCCCTCTCGTAGAGTAACTGAGGATGAGGGAGTTTAAATACTTTTCCTAAAGAGTTAAAATTACAAAATAAGACTGTGACATCAAAGTCTACACTTGTATCAAATGTGCCACATTAGGACCAATTTAATAAGAAAAAGAAACAGCTTACACTTAGCTATAACAGCAAAAGCACAAGCAATGGTAGAAAAAAATAAACTGGATATCCTAAAAATTAAACAGTTTGAGGCACTGAGGTGGCTCAGTCAATTAAGCATCTGACTCTTGGTTTTGGCTCAGGTCATGATCTCATAGTTCATGGGTTCCAGCCCCATGCTGGGATCTGCACTGACAGCATGAGGCCTGCTTGAGATTCTCTATGTCCCTCTCTCTCTGCCCCTCCCGCTCTCATGCTTTCTCTGTCTCTCTCAAAGTAAATAAATTTTAAAAAATCTAAACACTTTTATGCTTCAAAAGACACTGTTAAGAAAGTGGAAACCCAAAGAATGGGAGAAAAAAATGCAAATCATATATCTGATAAGAGTTTTATCCAAAGTAGTTAGGGACTCTTATTATTCAGTAATAAAAAGACAACCCAATTTACTCAGGGGCAAAGGATCTGAATAGACATTTCTCCAGAAAATAAATACACAAACACCCAAAAGCAAATGAAAGAATTTTCACCCTCATTCACCACTAGAAAAATGTAAATCCAAACCACAATAAGATACCACCTCACACCCACTAGGATGGCTATAACAAAAAATGCAGGTAATAATAAGTGTTAAAGAAGATGTGAAAAAATTAGAACCATCATACTCTGTGCTGGGGATATAAAAATGATACAGGAACTTTGAAAAAACAGTCTGAAAGGTCCTGAAAACATGAAACATAAAGTGACCATATGATCCAGCAATTCCACTTGCTGATACATACCCAAGAGAAATGAAAATGTGTGTCTGTAAAAAAAAAACTTGTACACAAATGTTCATGTAAGAATTTTTATAACAAGCAAAAGAGTAGAAATAATCCAAATATCTTCTGCTGATCTTCTGCTGAATGGATAAATGTACATTCCTACAACCAGAATATCATTCAGTGATAAAAAAAGAATGATGTACAGACACATACTACAATATGGATGAATCTTGATAATACCACACTAAGTGAAAGAAGTCCGTCACAAACCTACACTGTTCCATTTATATGAAAGTATGAAATAGGCAAATCTATAGAGCCAGAAAGCAGATTAGCAGCTGCCTGGAGCAGGGTGGGTGGGGGAAAGAGAATGACTGCTTAGGGTGTGGAGTTCCTTTTTAAGGCAAAGAAAGTATTTTATTTATTTATTTTTTGTTTATTTATTTTGAGAAAGAGACAGCACGAGTGGAGGAGGGGCAGAAAGAAAATCGCAAGTAGGCTCTGAACTGCCAGCTCAGAGCCCAATGTGGGTCTTGAACTCATGAACAGTGAGATCATGACCTGAGCTGAAAGCAGGAGTCAGACGCTTAACCGACTGAGCCACCTAGGTGCCCTGTGACGAAAATATTTTAAAATTGACAGTGATAGTTCCACATCTCTTCCAAAATCGTTGAACTGAATACTTAAGTGGGTAAATTGTTTGGTATGTGAATTAGATGTCAATAAAATTGGCATTAAGACCAACAGTATACAGAAATTCGTTAGTGTTGATTTTGAAAAGTTTCCCCACATTTTATTTTTACTCCTGGAATGCAGGAAATGCAAATTCTTACTGTGCTGACTTTGACACTTTAAGCCCTTTCAAATAGGTTCTGCCCGGGTGGCTACCACACATGCCCATGAAAGGATACAAGGATGGGTGACATGCATCATAAGTTGTGCAAATTGCTTTGTGAAAAACAAGTTGTGAAAAAGTGATCATGGCAATAGTAGTGTAAAGAAACTGAGAGATGGGCACCACCGATGAAAAACCTCTCATACCAGTTCTACTAATTCACTCCCATGACTTGGATTTCAGGGACCTGAGCAACTGAGAGACAAAGCAAGGGTGCAAAAATTCCTACCCATCTTGAAAGACAGAGAAGAAACTAAGCATTGTGATTGATAGCCTCTGCCCATGGGCTTTTGAAAAGCAGCCTCGGTGTGATATTCCATGGTCTTCATTTGATTTTTATTCTATCTGGGCATGAAGCCACTAATAAAAACCACAAAACTTATCATCACTGGACCAAGTGGCTAGAAAGATGGGATGATTAACTGTCCTATAAAATTGCTTCATCCTGTATAAGTTCACTTTTAGGAGCTCTTTACTGAGAAAGACAAGTCATACCATCGCTCTCTCATTTCTGGGTTTTATTTCCATTGGCAATAAGAAATATATTTGAAACCAAGAAAATAAGGAAGCAGGGAAATGGATTGGCCTTAAGATTTTACGGTAGAAATGCCACTGGGTTACTGGCAGGCATTTGTAAAAGCTTACAGAGAGAAATTTGTATGACTGACAGAATCTCACCACTATTACTGTTATTTTAGACAACTGAATTCTAGAGAACAGAGCAGAGAAGTGGTTCCATGCCCAGTGGGAGCTGAGAAGGAAAGAAGGAAAACAAGTTGTCTCTTCTTCTTTCTAAGGTACGAACAAAACCTACCTCACATGAATAGTATATTAAGGATGTCACCCACATGATGATATATTGATTTAACTTTACTGGTATTTGTTTTATAATTATCCCATTTATCTTGCATTCCCTCCCTTTTTCTAGAACCCTGAATCTTTCATTGAAGCTCTTTGTTCACCTACTTTGTTTGGACACCATGACTAGGACCCAAAGTAAACAGTCTCTAATGGGCTTCTCCATTCTTCAGCCATAAAAATATCCACATCCTTTCCAAGCCCTGGTTTTCATGCTTGAGTCAACTCAACATCTGGAATCAAAGGTATTAGATTTTTCTCTGTTAAAGTGTTTCTCACAGTATGGAGATGAGATGCCTCTCCTCAGGACAGTAACCCTCTGAGAAGCTCTGAGCTGCGGAGTCAGAGATCTATTTGGTATGAGCCACCATAGGCAAAGCACAAGCTAACTCTCATGACCTCCAGCATCCAAATCACTTAATGATCCCTCATGATGTGTACAAAAAATATCACTACTCATTAAATCCTCTCTGACACATGGTTGTTACTCACTGCCTTGAAGCAACTGTTTCCAAAATTAAAAAAAAAAAAAATACAGTGTGATTCCACCCAACACGGTTTATTTACAGATGTTTATTTATTTATTTTGCTTGACAGAGGGAATAGTAAAATGGAGGTTGGAGGCGACCTTGGAGATGTTTGAATATAAAGATTATTAAGAATTTATACTCCCAGGGTAACACTGAAACATCAGGAAAACAAAGCTAATGCTTTTTTAAAGTCAGTCATGACTGACTGGTCTCCAGGGTGCTGCTTGAAACCAATTAACCAGATAAATGATCAGTCAAATCTTAGAATGCTTCTCATTTATCTTAACCTTCTCTTCACTCTAACTTGTTTATGGTGTCTGCTCTGTTACACTGTTATACTACTCTTCCCCCTGATTACTTCTCAGAATGAATTTGAAGAGCAACATGGCTTTGGATTCAGACTTCCCAGCTTCAGATGATTTCCCATCTTCAAACTATATGTGGAATTTGGCTATTGGTGGCATTTTAACCTGTTTTCATCTTCTGTTGCTATTATTTCACTCTCACAAAGAAAAGTGCAAATTACAGCATTTCAAGGTAAATTTAGTATTCTCTTCTCCCTTTTGGTGTCACATTGTATGACTCAAGATTTAAGTTTCAGATACTGTTCCTAGGGTTGTGGAATAATGTTAATGCTATTTTTCATTTCCGTGGAGACTTGATGCTACTGGGAGAGACTCTGATAAAACTCCTGAGAGGTGAAGGGTGCAGGAAAGGTGGCTGAACCTTTCCACTCTGTGAATCCCGGAAAAAGGGAGCATGCCAGATGCAGGCAGGACATGGAGACAGTCAGTGGTTCAAGGCTGACCAAGGAAATAAAACTCTACTGTAAGAGCCTTACAAATCATCTTCACTTATTATTTATATCTTTTTTTGTCATATAAGCAACATGTGGGTAAAGGTACATAAACACCATAAGTAGCTTTTCCCCCACCCCCAAGAGTAAAACACCGAGTAATAGAAGACTGAATTACTAACAGATCCCAAAAAGCAATTTAAGAGTTCAAAATGGTCACCTTCACAATCAGCTCATTAGAAACAGAAATCAAAACACAAATCATGGTAGTTTAGTGGATATCATTTTTACAGGCATTTAAGAATTACTGTGATCTTAAAATGTCATGATCTCTTGCTTCCAGACACACTTTAAGAAAATGAAGTTGAAAGGAAATATTGAGCCAGATTCTCCTCCTTTTGAACTCAGCAGGATTTCCCACTGGATGAAACCATTGGTAATAAGGGGACTCTTAATTTTTAAAAGAATTCTCCCAATCTCATCACTTAGCAGGACATTCTTTTTTGGTTTTGTACCAATACCAACTAAGTGCCAGGTCACCCTGAAGAAAAATTAATAAACTCCTTGAAATGAAATCTGACTTCTATTCCCAAGAAACCTGAAATAGTTTCATGTAAATTACGCATATGCAAGCCTCTCTGCAATCCAAGTTTAATTTCCCTCCTGTGTGCTCCATTCTCGCCTGTGTTTCTTCCACCTGAGCTATAGCCACAATTTGTCTATTTACTCGTCTGCCAATCCCCCACATCTCCAAACATACTCAACTTAAGCTTCATGGGGGCAAACAGCTGATAGATCTTTTATTTTACTGATATATGCCCCCTGCTCCTATTGTACAGCAGCATGGCATGTGAGGACACTGATACTACTGCAAATACGTGTTGCTCAGCCAATACTCCTGTTCAAATGTATGAAAATCCAAAAACAAAGTCAAAACATTTTTCAAGTCTATGGTAAATATAATGCAAGTGGTAAGGTGTTTATGCTCTAATTTTACATAATTCATATGTTAGAGTTTGCTCAGGGACCATTCTTTAATAACATTTCTAAGTCATAACTGATAGCCAATAATCCTAAAATTTCTAGCCAAGATTATTTAATTCACCTCAATATTTTCATATTTAACACCCTTCATTATCAAAGCATTCTTCCAAATGTCTGATCTTTATTCTATCTCTTAATGGAGATGTACCAAAATTTTATAAATGGAAAGTCATTCTTTGTTCTGTACTAGAGCAAATCATCCTTGTTATTTTACCCTCCTTGACAATCCCCATGTCATTTGACATCTTCTGCATGATCTGCATGTCATTTTACAAACATGATAGATGAGATACACATAGCTTTTTAAAAGGTTCATAAACTAGTATAACTCCTTGTATGTACTATATTTTACAGTTTCAAGTTGCTTCTATAGTTCATTCTGTTTCTGAACACTGTTACTATTAGGAATTGAATTATATTCCTCCCCCCTCCGCCCCCCCCCCGAAAAGGATGTTTGAATCATAACTCCCAATACCTCAGAATATTGCCTTATTTGGTGATAGGATCTTTACAGAACTGATCATGTTAAAATTAGTTCATTTAGAGTGAGCCCTAACCCAATATACCTGGTGTCCTTATTTTAAAAAGGAGATTTGGACACAGTGATCGGCAAACTGAGAAAATGTGAAGATGAGGGCACAAAGTGAGGCATCTCCAAGTCAATGAATATCAAAGAGTGCCAGTAAATCACCAGAAGCTGGGGGAGACGTGTAGCATAGATTGTCCCTCACAGCCTCAGAAGAAAACCAAACTTGCTGACACATGGATCTCAGACTTCTAGAATTCAGAACTGTAAGACAATAAATGCTTGCTATTTAAGCTACCCAGTTTTTGGTAATTTGTTACAACAACCCTAGCAAACTAACACACTGGCACTTAGCATCATCATGTTAGGATGATGTAGACAGAGGGACATTGAAGAAAGGTGATATCTGAGGATTTAAGAGGAAGTTAAAAGTTGGGAGAAAAAAAGCCAATGGCAAAGCAAAGGCTGCATTTGGGGGAAGGTGATCTCCATAATTCAGAGAAGATACTGGGCCTACTTCACAGAAGAGGAGGGTTAAATTTAGAGAAAAGAGGTATTTTTTTTTAGAGCCCAGGGGTGAAGATGAAAAAATATTAGTTATAATAATCATGCTAATAAACATGCTAATGACAGCCTTTCCATTTATTAATGACCTGCTCTATGTCTGGTATTACTTGCTGTTATTTAATACATGTAAAGTACTTATTTTATATGTTAACTTAAAGTGTGTTTTTGGATGAGATTTATATTTAAAACATGAATTCTGGGAAAAGCAGATTGCCCTCCATAATACTGGTGGGTCTCATCCAATCAGTTGAAGGCCCAAACAGAACACAAAGCTGGCCTCCTGAAAAAAGGAAATTCTCCGGTGTACTGCCTTCAGAATAAAATGGAGACATCAGCTCTCCTGGGTCTCCAGCCTGCCAGCCCACCCTGAAGATTTTGCACTTGCAAGCCTTCATAATCACATGAGCCAATTCCTTATAATAAATCATATATATGTGCATGTACATATATATCCTATTGGCCTGTTTCTCTGAGAGCCCTAATACACATAGTAAACATTCAGTGAATGTTAGATATCACAATAATGCTGAGCTATGTTAAATGAGGATAACTGATTATACTGAAAGCATAATATCATCATTGAAGTTAAGTAAATCACCCAAGATCACATGTTAATAAGTTACAAAGTAAGGATTCCAGCCAGGTTTGTCTAATTCCAAAGTACATGCTTCTTCTACTATATATTGCCATCTAAGAGTTGACAATGAGTATAAGATACAAAGTAGAATGTGAGACTATTTTCTGAGAGTATACAGTGGGTAAACTAAGGAACTCAGGGAAGGTCAAGACCAACCAACATGGGGGAAAAACTGAGTGGTTTTCAGACTGGCCCCACCACCCAGTGTTCCCCAGAGATACTTCAAAGAGCTCACTGCTTTTGATTTGAGATGTCAAGATTTGTAAGTGTTTTACTATTTTAAAAACAGGAACAAAAACATCACACATTTTCATAATATACTGTATTATATAACAATTTTAGCATACTGGATGCATCCAAACATTTTCCTGGACAGCCAGGCTAACTGACTTAGTGTCCACTCTATAGGAAAGGTTCCCCTGACATCTGTTTGCATACATTTAAAAATATTACAATCTGTCATTGGTTATTTCCACACTGTATAAGTGAGCATGTCACTACATACACGTGGGCCAAGCTCAGTTGACAACTCACCATATCTCTGGCATATCTGCTCATAAATGGTCTCATCCCAGATAACAGAATTGTGCAATCTCCAGGGAATGATAACAAGCCACAAGATATCATCATGGTTTTATGATACTTTACTATGCTTACACAACTATATGGTGACATTGATTAGAAAACTTACCACTGGGGTCCCTGGGTAGCTCAGTTAGTCAAGCATCCAATTCTTGGTTTCAGCTCAGATTATGATCTCACAGTTTATGGGTTCAAGCCCCGCATCAGGCTCTGCACAGATAGCACAGAGCCTGCTTGGGATTCTCTCTCTCTCTCTCTCTCTCTCTCTCTCTCTTTCTCTCTCCCTCTCTCTCTCTCCCTCTCCTTGCCCCTTCTCTGCTATCTTTCTCTCAAAATATATAAACATAAAAAAACTCATCAATTTAGTACTAGCCTTTCCAAAAAAAAAAGAAACATATTAAAAACAGTTTTTTAAAGAAATTTTCAAAATTATATTCTTATTTAGACAATAACCTACCACTTTCTCCTTACTATCATAATTATAATTTTCTCCTAACCCTTTTTGGCATTTGGATCAAAAATATTCTTTTGAACTACTCTTGGCAATTCACAGCTATGAAGAGAGTACCGTGTCAAACTGCATGCATAACACTGTCACCTGTGGGACAGGCAGAATCATTATAAGGTACAGTGGTATGCTGACCTTGGGTAACTTCTACTTTCATTACAGTCTGGTTGACAAACTTCACACTAAATATTAACAGTCTTTTTCAAAACTAGATCACAGAGTAATTTTTCTTGAGAAATTTCAAGGAAGAAACTAAATTTAAGTTAACCCTGTGAGGGGCATCAGAGCAAGTAATTCAAATGAGGTCACAGGATTATATACCTTCAATATACTACAGAATTTCCATACTACAATTCATTCCTGGGCCTGATGCTGACAAGCTTCCTTTGACATCAGCTTATATAAGAGGCATCTCAATTTCAGAAATATAAGATTGTGAAAAAGGAAAGCACACAAGACCAAGAAAATACTGCATAAATGTTTTATGATCATTTCAGCCCTTATTTGGGTACAAGCAGTTATCTATACCTTTGTACTTATGGAAGATTTGTTGCCTTCTATTGTCACTTTTATTTGTATATATTGCAGTTCCATGGAAGATTTCATTTGGAAACTGGGATTCAATGACAAAAGTATGTTGTTGTTGTTGTTGTTTTTAAATGTGAGAACCACTGCAACTAGGAAAAATCCAAGACTTGTATATATTAAGTGTCAAACATCAAGTGGAGGAACCATCTGACAGGTGACGCTGCCTCTTCCTTCAATCCTAAGATACAGAATAAGAGTAAACTT